GAAATTAAAGATCTCTTAAGCCTAATGTGATCCTTGAGCTTGGTGCTTTTCTGCACGTTTCCTGGATTCAGACACTAAATTAGACAATGACAGCTGGAGCTCTCCTCTTGTCGCAACAGCAGTTCTGTTCCTGGATTTTGTCAAGGAAACTACCTTACTGAATCCACACTCAACCAACTATGTTGAGGGAAAGGCAATTTTTAAAAAATTGGGCTTTCCCCCACAGTGTTGGAAATCTATTTGGCAGATCAATCTTGATCCAAAAATCTTTTTGAAACTGACTGAACTGACGATGGCTAGTTAAACCACTCTGAAGATCAATCGAACTCTCTTGAATTTCTGCCTCAACTTGGGTGGGTTGTATTTCAAATGGATTCAAAATCCAGTCTGGGATACACAGGTTTAATAGATCATTGCATTTTCTTGCATATCCTTCTGTACCTCCTCGAGGTGCTTCACATAAACGGTAAGGTCATTGTCCTTCAGTGTCTGTGATAGTCTTCAAGTTTGGAAAGTGTAAAAATTCCCAACATCCTATATTGTGCCAATAGACTTTGAGTTTCATAAGGAAAGAATCAATGGCTTCCTTCCTGTCTACAAGGTTACTGTTTTTAAACCTGTAAGGACTAATTTCTGAAAAATATCTGCTAGATAAAATATGTCTGCCTTAGCATCAACAAGCTCTTGTCTGCTCTTTATCAGACATGAAGGAAACTATGAAGTCCGAGAGTGTTACAAAATGTTGGAGGCAGTTTCCCTTGGACTTCCCCTAGCCTCAGTATGCAGCACTAATCTGGAAGTCTTTGTAATTTTTTTCACATTGCTTCTGGAAAAGACGATCTTGAAGGGTGAGAAGTTTGATGAAGTTTACAGCCTTTATGACAACTGAAAGCAAAATATTGAGAATGGCTGATCTACACAGTCAAAGGCTTTGCTGTGGTCTATAAAGCATAGACTGATCTTCTTCTTAAACTCTTTGGTGTGCTCCAATAGCCAGAGCATATTTGCAATTTGATATCAGATGCCTCTTCCGTTTTTAAATCCAGCTTGAACATCAGGCATTTCTCTGTCCATAAAAAAGCCTTTGTTGCAACACATTGAGCATCACTTTACTAGTATGGAAAATTAAAGCAATGGTTCTATAGTTACTGCACTTCTTGGCAGTATACAGTATTGGAAAGTATGTTGAATGTTTCCAGTCTGTGGACCATTGTTTTGTTTTCTATATTTATTGCCGTATTGTTGTCAGGATTTTAACAGATTCAGTCTCCGTGGCTTGAAAAAGGTCTATGGGTCTACCCCTGGTGATTTATTTCTTCTGAGTGCTTTCAGAGCAGCTTTCACTTTACTTTCCAGAACTGCAGGTACTTTGTGGTAGGATTGTTCTTCAAAGGGATCTGATATCCTATTATCTCTTCTGTATAGGTCTTCAGGATACTGCTTTATAAGAACATAAGAAGAGCCTGCTGGATCAGGCCAAGAGCCCATCTAGTCCAACTTCCTGTATCTCACAGTGGCCCCACCAGATGCCTCTGGGAGCACACAAGACAACTAGATACCTGTCTCTTGATACCCCTCCCCTGCATCTGGCATTTTGAGGTACCTTCCTTTTAAGCCTGGAGATTTAAGCCCAGAGCACAGCGTGCTACTCCTGACCTCTGAAGATGCCGGCCACAGAGACTGGCGAAAAGTTAGGAAGAACAACCTTCAGAACACGGCCAAAGAACCCAAAAAACCCACAACAACCATTCTACCTTCTCTTTATTTTTTTTTCCTGGTCAGATAATGTGCTTCCCTGTTGGTCAAGCAGCACTCCTAATCCAGGTTTAAGTTTATCTTTGATTTCTTGGATCTTCTGAAAGAGAACAGTATCTTGTTTCTCATTTCTATATGCTATTGCTGTGTGAAACTGGGTTGCTGGATGTGTGTTAATGTTGCAGAGGCAATCTTTCTCTGTTTGTGAAATCAGACTTTCAAGGAATACCATGTTTAAGTCAAAGACTAACCATGAAACAGCAAGTGGGTTTCATGATCCCAGAGATAAGAAAAACTCATACTCTCCACATTCTAGTGTTTGTGTTAGTTAAGAATTCCCATCATCCAACCACAGTTATCTCTGTGTATTTCTGCCCTCGGTCTTTGGCTGGACACCAGGCCTTGTTTGACATGTACTTCCTGCCCCCTCCCATTCTGCCACATTTTCTGCCTGGCCCTTCCCTATGCTCTTTGTTATACCACTTTTTGGTTATCATCTCAGAATTGATACTGTCCCGCCTTGAAGTGATACATCCTCAGACTGACCTTGTGGCTCTATGCCAGCTTTCTACCATGAAGGTCTCAGTCCAGCCAAGATTTGCATTTTGATCTTTCTACCTATTTTATTGTCTACATCCTGGTTTCTGACAATTAGTGGACCGAACAGACCCTGTTTTTTTATGGCTTGTTTAGCACACCTGGCTGCTTGGTGGGAAACTCCACCTGTATTTTTGAAAGACATATGACAGAACTGACTAAACATAATATTAATTCTCCAGCTGCAATTCCTTACTGTGCTGTTGACAACTTCTCCTCACCCCATACCAACACCAAACCAATTAGATTACTCCATAAATGTAATTCCAGATATAAAAAGCATGAGCAGTAATATCACCAGTGGTCATGTGAACATATATTTAAAAATAAGGCTGTGAGAAGACAGCAGGGTAGAAACGTTGCTTTCCTAATGCACTAAATCTTGCCTCATCACTATGAGAAAACAGCCTATACCTGTGGGCAAGTATACATGATCTGGAAGATTCCTCACAGGTTTCACAACAAACCATAGTAATTCACATTTATCTCCTCCCCACTCATCCCACGACTGCGTGGAAAATGTAGACAAATGAATAATCACCCCTTCCCCTTCTGTTGCTCTCCATCTACAGCAGGGATTGGCAAAGTGAACCCCAGGGAAGCAAGCAATTCCCCCAGACTCTCCGAGGTAGTTTTTTCCCCACTAGTGCCTTTTCACAAGGAGGCAAAATTTAGACAGCAAATATTCTAAAGGCTTCTGTTTTAAAGGGGGTTTGTGGTAGTGCAGGCCTCCAAGGTCAAGGAAAAGGATGACAATAGCCCTCGAACCCTCAGAGGTTGCCCACCCCAGTCTACAGCATCTGTATTGAACTGTTGTACAAGATAGGATGAATAAACCAAATATAAAAGTGACAAAAAGATATGTGACTGAGAACAGCTGAGAATCAAGGGTGAGCAACCGAGGATCCAATTCAGCCCTTCCATGTGGCCTTCAAATTAATTTAAAGGCCCTCTGCAAGTGATCAGTTTGAGCCTGTGCAAAAGCAAACTGTCTCTCCTCCAATAGGCTAGGAGAGTTTCACCTATTCATTTTTAGCTCCATCTGTTGCCATCAGGTGGCCCCTGACAGATTACCCCAGAGAAAATGCAGCCCATGCTGGTCTCACAGAGTGATGATTTTGTTCCCAATCCTCCCCCACTGGTGCATTCCACTGGAGAATCTTGTACAAAGAGTTATACTTCAGTTTTTAAGAATTGGGAGGGGGAGGGAAATGAGGGTATTTAAAATAGAGTCAGAGCAATCCCAACCAAACTTCTTTTTTTTTTACCAAGCCAAAATGGATTCTACTGCTGTTGATTTCCTGAAACTAGCAGCTACAAACATTGTGTGTCAAGCTGGCCGAATATACATAAACTGAAAGACTAAGCATAACAAAGTGCCGCACCATGTGAAGAATAAATGGGGAGATAGGATGCAGTGGGCAAGCCTGGAATATTCAGCAACTTTACATGCCACCTTTCCACATGTGGTTTGAATAACACAGCTTTTCAGCACTCAGAAATCATTCTTGTAACCCAAATACAACAAAAGACAATGGAAGATTAATTGAATGTAGCATTGTCAGTTAAGAAGAAGTTAGGAGAGGAGGATATAATAATGCTGTACCATATGATTTCCTTTCTTGAGAGGCTGAAGCGGGTAAAAATAAAACCATCAAAAAAGAAGAAGCAAGTCTTGAATTCCATCGAGACCACCTTCTCACACTGGTACAATTTCAACAGTTTATTGCAATCATCTTTAGAGGCCCTGTTGTGTGTCCCATCACCAGGAGAAGCTAGACAGGTAAAAACACAGGACAGGACTTTTACTCTGGTGGCTGCACCCCTGGCCATAAAGTTCATTTTCTAGGATGAGGAGACTAGCCTCACTTCTGTTCCTTTTTAGGAATGCCCTAAAGAGGCATTTGTTCCATTTGTTTTTCATAGTTTGGATATGGAGATAATTCTGCTTTGTAAGATGTTATTTTTAATTTTTTAAATGTTCTTTTGTTCTTTTTCTATACTATGGAGGCACTGGGTTTTGTAGGTCTTTTAGCAGAAAATTGGCTTCTGAATATTTCAATAAACAAAATAGAAATAAATATAAATTTCCCTCTGTTCTCTTTTCCAAAGGCAGCACCTCAGCACTCTCTGTTCCCCCCCCCCACACACAACAGACACGATTATGTACTAGAGCTTGTTCAGTTGGTAACCCTAGCTGAGTCCTGCACATAGCCAATGCTGAATAATTAGTCAAGAACTGGGAGATGGCTACCCAAGTACATTTCCTACTTTGACCACGTTGTTAGTTTCTTTAAAGGAGATCAGCAAGGTTATTTCCATTCTGTAAAAGGCACAGTCCCAGGTACGCTACCCCACATTCCACATATAGTACAAGGTAAACAGTTGAAATCCTTGCAGTACACATTCAACAGGTCCAACCCTCAAAATTCAGCACCTCAGAAAGAAAACCCATCATTACCAACCATTCTAAACATATAATACATTATAGAAAAAGCAGAACATTTACTCTGTTACAAGTGCTCTGCCCCCTGAGGTCATTTGCCTCTGCCTAATAACATCTCACAATTGTGCTGGTTTGATTTACTGCCTTCACTGCTATGAAGAGCAAAGTCTCTGACCACAAAAACAGAAGTACTGCAGCTTACCTGTAATGTGGATATCATGGGAAGCTTTTTTTCCTGGAGTTCCTCTGACCTTGATGAAAATTGTTCTCAGAACTCAAATTTGTATCCTCTACCATGTGCTTTCAAAGCCAGCCCCTCACCATATTTACTTGAGAACATAATAATGTCAGGCAGGTGTGATCAGTATCACAGCCTTAAGCACAGCTGTAACATGGACAGTGACCGGAGACAACAATCTTAGAGAACCTCCAGCTACAAAACCCATATGCTATTGGTGTGTGAAACTGGGGTTGCGTATATGTGCATTGCCCCTGCAGACAATTTTCAAACAGATTTCACTCTCTCGGCAAATGCTTTTTAAAATAAATAAATAAATAAGGCTTACTGGTAACATAACATTTTAAGCATTCTTTGACCACTAACTAGCATCAGCACCAAGAGCCTTATTTCTTACAGAATTACATGCAAGCTTATTTTTTTTCCCCACCTACAAATTTCATTTTGGGGCCAAGAAGTAAAAAAAAAAGGGGGGGAAGGAGATGAAAGAAAGGCACAACTGAGAAACAATTAATATAGTCCCACATTATAAGCAGCTACCTCTAAGTGTCCAATTCATTGTTTTTTTTCTTTCTCTTTTAATTCTAGGACAGTTTAAAAAAAAAGATATAGGAAAGAGTGGTATTGTAGGGCTGGATAGATAGCTGCCTATAATTATTTTCCCCGTACTGTATACCAGGAAATAACTGTTCCACATAGGTAACAAACTTAAAAACTGGCCTTTTCCATACCTTTTCCCTCACACACGCCAGCTCTATCCAAACTGCGGCCTTAGAAAGCTATGCTGTAACAAGCAGCCGTTTGAGAGGCACATGCTGTAGCCGCACTGTTCTGACATTTGCTAAGCAGCAGAGTCCCTCAAGTGACTGGGAGCTAAGCCATTGACGTCACTGAACAATAGGCAAAATATTTCCTCCTCCTCCTCCTCCATAGCCCTGAACTGTAAACACCAAGCCTGCACACAGCAGGCAGAACATTTGGGGAGAGGTGGGAGAAAGAGAATGTGTGAGAGGAGCTCTCAAGCGATGCTGCCTGAAAATACACAGCTGCTGCTACTCCTGCTTTCTTGTCTCCTGGTTGTTGATTTTTAAGTATTTGTGTGCGTGTTGGGTTGTCAGTGTTGCCTAGGAGGAAACCAGCAACACCAGTATCTCTCAAAATCTTTTTTTTTCTCTCTCCCAAGCCATGTCTCTCATGTCTAAGTTAGCCACAGGCACATATTCCCAAAGGGGATGGTCTTCCTGTTCAGCCACTAGATTACCAGAAAATCGTGATGAAAGCTTGGAGCAGAGGAACAAAAGGGCACAGAGCAGGATGGGAAGGAAAGAGGCAGGGGAGGAAAAGAAGGGAAGGGTCTCTCTTTCCAAAACTTTCAATGTTGAACTTGATAGGGAAAATTACACCTGCTTCACCTGGGAGTGCTAGTGATATCATCCCACTCCCTGGCCAGTCAGCCTTATCCTCAGAGGCTCTTCTGACTCCCCTAGGAACAGCTCCAAACAGCAAAACTGCTTTTTTTTTTTAAGGGCCACCCACACAGGTAGCCATCAGCCTTAACTTGTACATAGGTAGCTGGATTGCTGGTGTGTATTTTCCTCCTCTTGTCCTTTCTAGATTTACATGCAGATTGGCGAAGTTCCATCTTTCCCTGTGGTCCCTTCTGCTTCTTTCTCTTTTTTAGTTAGAGAAATGGCTGCTCACAAACCTGTGCACATAGAAGTCAGCCCAATAAGATTCTGTAAACAAGTGTAGATCCTTGTATCCTTCTCTACCACCATGATTTTTCCCCTCCTCCCCAGTTTTTAAATTACCAGGCTCCAGAGTGGATATTACCCTTCAGTAGTCACAAGCACACCATTAGGCTTGTATTAAAATTATCAGATAGTCCCAGATATTTCAAATTGAAGAAAGAGAAGGAACTGCACTATATGATATTTCTACATTCTTGTTTCTGCCCAAGCCCTTGCTAATACTTTTGTGCAGGGCTGGGGAACTTGTAGCCCTCCAGATATTGTTGAACACTTCCATTAGTGTTGGCTAGTCTTGCCAAAAGAGACATATGATGGGAGTATTATCTGGAGAGGCTAAAGTTCCACACTCCTGCTTTAATACTCATGGACTGCCATAGGATATTTCAATATGTAACTTAGAAGCATTTTTGTCTTGCAGAATCTACAACTACTATGGGTCTGCAATGTACAGTCATTGTATGACACACATATTTGCATAGAGCAAATAATTTTGCGAAACGTCAGGCACTTGCCACATACAGTTTTTTCTATTAGAAACAAATAGCTGAGTTTTTAAAAAAGTAATGTTTTGTTCCAGCCAATGTAAAGCTGTTGGTGTGTTGGCAGAGGGTAAGATACCGAATTCACACTGAATTGTGCAGATGCACTCCTTCAGGAACAGAAAGCAGAACAACTTATTCAATAATAGAGTTCAGTAAAAGATCTAGTTAGAGACTCCAGTAAGGAAGTGGTTTTGTGGGAATTTCTTATGCTCTTTAGCCAGTTCTTTGACCATAACTACCATGGGGTGACGGGGAAAAAGTCCAAGACGGCAAACTTCAGAAGATGCTAGAACATTGGATGTGGCAAATGCACAGCTCAGTCACCTTGTCATTGCCATTGCCTTATGGACACACTGTGTGCAAGAAGTGTCCTGCCTCTCTGGATGCTGTCCTGTAGGAGAAGGGAGGTAGCGTCATATCAACCAACTTCTGTTAAAGCTGGCTGCTTTCTTCTTCTTCTTCTCCTGCTGCTGCTGCTGGAGTTGTAACCCCCGTGGACTGTTTGGTTCAAACCAGTGGATGAAGAACTTTTAGGAAGGGGTTGTGATCCAAGATTTCAATTGAGAAAGAATGGGAAAGCTGGAGCAGCAGGAACTGCTGTTCCCCAAAAGATAGTTTAGAGTTCATACATACATACACGCATGCATACACGCATGCATACACGCACGCATGCATGCATGCATGCATACACGCATGCATGCATGCATGCATACATACATACATACATACATACATACATACATACATACCCATAGACAATGTTACAGAGTCAAGGCACAATGTAGGGCGGGGGGAGGCTGTGTAGACCTCTCTCTACCTCTGTTCTGCCTTGCCTCCAAGAGGCCATCTAGGAGCCAGTTTAAAAATAAAAAAGAAAGAAGGGTGCCAGGCCTAACAACAGATGGTGCTGCCGCTTGCCTCTTCCTTCTCTGGCAGCATGCGCGTGGGGAAACGTGTGGAGATGTCGCCAGCTGCTGCTTGCAATGGAAACAGGTGCTTTCTTCACCAGGGCCAGACAAAGTGGAAGAGATGGGCGGTGCCATCTTGCTTCCTCCCTGAAGTGGCAGGACATCTTGCTCCACCACTTGCTGCAGCCATGAAGAAATTCAAAGGCCAAGAATTCATTCCTGACTGAAAAAGGTGGCAAGTGGGCAAAAAGCACTTGCACTAGCCAAGCAGCCCTTCCTTCTTCCTCCTCCTTGCCCTGTCTCCTCCCTGGGAAATCAAGGCATGTAGAAGTCGAGAGCCTGTGGGAAAGTCTGTGTGAGTGTGAACCCTATCATCCTCACATGTTCTAAATAGAATAACATTCTGTCTCCATTTGTCTCTTTCCCTTCTTCAACTTTATACACCTTCCTGTTTCAAATTTTCTTCCTGCTCCTCCTCTTTCTTTCTTTTTTTTACCAGCTCCGTCCCCTCCACCGTCCCTTCCCAGTCTACACCTGGGCAGATCCATATTCAGATTTTTAATCCTTTCTTCTTGGACAACCTGAAGTGGGTCGCAATAAGTTATGCAACTCAAATTAGTATTACTTACCATTCATTTAATTTATTTCTTCCTGGCTTTTCTCCCAGCACAGGGATTGAACAGATCCAGGGTGAGAACTGCAGGGGAGCCCCTGGCACCTCATTTCCCCCCTACGCCCACTGCCCCCCCACCTGCTGCAATGTGCTGAGCCAGCTTCCTACTTGCATCCCAGAAGACGATGCCCCCGTTGGCTTCCCACCATTGTCAACACCATCACCCTGCAATCACAAACACTTAGCTCCTCATTCATTTTATAAAATCTATCAGTTGCAAATAAAGTACTTAGATGAAGGGATTGCTCTAAAAGCGCATCAGACAGAAAATGGCAGCATTACAAACAGTCTAAATACACCAGGTTTTGCAACCACTTCTCTTTTTTTGCCCTCTCCCTGTCCTTATGATTAATCTGGAAGCTGCTGCCCATCTGTTTTTGCTGCCTTGGTTTCCCTTCCCCAGTTTCCTGGGCCTGCACTGGAACTTTTAGCTGACCTATATCCAGCATCTCCCCCATACACTCTTCGGGTTGCATAGTGGTGGTTCCTCCTATCCCTTTGCTCTGTGAGGATTATGGTTTTAAAACATCTGAGTCTCTCTTTCCCTAACCTCCATCAGCCCTTGGATTCTTCCCAGCCTTGTTCCATTGCTGTCTGAAGCTCTTCAAGAACGTACTTTAACACTTCTTTCCCCTGACTGTTTACAATAGGGTGTGCAGGGGTAGCCTTCTAGATACATTTAGATTGCAGTTCCCAGATTCACTCATCATTAATGATGGATGACAGTTGTAGACCAGAAACATCTGTTTGGCCACAGTCATCCACATGACCTCAAAAGCAACTCTTGTTCTTTGAAGTACTGTATTCTGCAACTTCACTGTGCATTCCTTGTTTGTTCTTCGTCTCTTTCAAACAGGTGTCTTTCACCACTTGGGGGAGCACTTTTGCAAAAAGCAGGATGAACATACAGTACTGCCTAGTTTGACATCCCCCCCCCCCAACCTGGACTCACCAAGACTCTTTTGTGTTTTGAATGCTTGTTATGAACCATTGGGGGATATTTATGCTATAAAGAGCAGATTGATGGATTTGTGTTCTCCCTTGGGAACAGCAGTACAACTGTGGGTTCTGAGCTCAAAGAGAGATTACTTTGCATCTTCACCTAATTGCATTCTTTGGAAGAAGTCAAAATGGCATGAAGTCAATTAAAGTTTTTAGCATACAGTACTGTATTGCAGTACAGATTTGCCCTTGATTTGTTTGGCTTGACAATGAAATGTTAAACACTGTATCAGAGAAAGATTGTACAAAATACCATTGCAATCACACTGCAGAGGCTGAAAGCAAAATTTGACTTGGATCCAGGAACTCTGGAGTTATTTTTCTAAGTATTCTGAGCCAGAGATGAGGCAGGATATGGTAAGAGAGAAATTTCCATGTCTGAATTAGGTAAGCTGGCTGTACATTTCACAATTCAAGTAAATTAACTTGTTAATTATATAGCTTCTGCAGATTTTTCCAGAAACGTAATATAAAAACCATACGCTCACTCTAGTATGTCTACTTGAAACTAATCAGTTAACAATAATTTTAGATGACAGTCCACATTGCAATACTGAAATTAACAAAGTGAAAGCTATTAAAGGAGAGAAAAGCGAGTAGAAAAAGAGTTTTTAAATTATTTTCTAGATTATATCTAAACTTGGTGAGACTCCATTTGGCACAAAAAAGTTGGTAACTTTTAAAAAATTAATTATTTATAGTTATAGTTCCAAGCCGTTCCAAGCAGTCAGTTACTGTTACAGTTGCTAGTATTTAAAAGCAATTCTTTTTCTTTTCTCAAAATTGTAACAATTACATTAGAATTTTTCTGGAGAAAAAAATCTGAATGCTACAAGCCATGGACCTGTA